ACGCACTGTTTACAACCTCATCACTAATGTTATGATAAATAAGGCAGATGGCCAATCTCTGTAATGGAGAAAAATACAAGATTGGCAGAAAGATGTTTTTAGGGATTCAAGAAAGGCATTGTTCTCTCTCTCTCTCTCTCTCTCTCTCTCTCTCTCTCTCTCTCTCTCTCTCTCTGTACACTATAAAGAATATTTTCTTATTCTACGTAGAGTGAATTTTAGATTCAAATCTGAATTCCAAGTAAATTAAGTTTTAAGTTGCAATTGATGTAAGTGTAATATTTCTATGTTTCCTCTTTTTTTTTTTATCGAGACGAAAGAAGATAGCATAGGCTAGAAGGCTTAATTATGCTAACCTCGGAAAACAGATTCGAAATTTCGCTACATACATTTTTTTAATTAGGACTGATGCAAGAATGATAATAGCCAAAATCATAGGAGCAATATAGGGGTAACAAACTACTGTATTTGTATATATTATTGCTATGGCTCTAATTTTTTTCTAGTATTTTATATGAATCACAACCTATTATTCAAGTGTTGAAAGTTGATCTTCCATACTCCACTGGCCGGTATACTCACGACTACTCTACGGTGATGAGAGTAATCTCCTGCACCCAATCTCACAAGAGGGATTGAAGTAAACTCTCAGCGTATAAACTCTTTTTGGTGTATACACTGAGGTATACTCCCCCTCGGTGTATATGCAGGTTGGTTGGTTGATGGGGTTTAAGGGACACGTCAATTCCCCTGTTTTCTTATAATGTTATTTTTCCTCTATAATCTACCTTGTCCATAACTACTATCACATTTGATTTGCTTTCTTAAGATGAAGTCCAGGATCTTTCCTTAATTCATGGTAAAACTTAACAAATCAATTATGTTGTAGAGGTCTGAGCAAAGCTCAGACCTCTACAACACAATTGTCCTCAAAGATTTGTTAAGTTTTACCATGAATTAAGGAAAGATCCTGGACTTCATCTTAAGAAAGCAGACAAAGGAAATGAGATAATAGTTACGGACAAGGTAGATTATAGAGGAAAAATGAACATGATATTAGGAGACAGGGAATCTTACGCACCTGTCGACTACAGTAGGGTTATTAAGGCTGCACGTAACTCTTTCACCACCAAAATACTTTGATACCTAAAACAGAAATCAAAGTTAACTATCAGCATATATACACTGACAGAAATACATCTCTCAGGTTATATATCCTGTGTATATACACTGACCTCGTTCAGCCTTACCAAGTAGTTAAAATTTGTGCCAAACAGCTGAAAACCCGAGATGAATTGTCAAAATACGAAGATAAACTAGTAGTTTGTTTTGCTGTTAATGCAATACTATTGTTCTTTTATTTTTTTTTTGTTTTATATAAAACATAAAAAATTATAAAAAAATATTATAAATAGACGTTTATATAATCCTCCACCAACACCTTGGCCCGAATTAACATAGATTTTTCTCCTGATAAGGAGGTAAACTATGTTATGACCCATACCTCTTTGGTGTTTGTTTTGAAATAGGATCGACACCATGCCTAACTCTTCTAGGGTAGGGTAGGTGCCTGAGCCCGAGCCTTTAGCTCATAAGACTGTCATTCCCATTTGCTCCCTTGGGGCGGGGATGGCAGACCAGAGAGGCCTAGCTTGTGGCTAGGCCTGGGGTACAGTTGGTCCCAAATATGAGGGGGTACTTGTACCACCTCCCATGGGAGACTTAGGTCTCAGACACTTCCTAAAGAGGGAGCCAAGGCCGGGCCACCACTTGGAAAAGGCCCGGGCCGGGAGAATACCGGTGAATCTTTAATAATAATAATAATTTTGAAATAGATCGATCGACACCATGCCCAGCCCTTCTAGGGTAGGGTAGGTGCCTGAGCCCGAGCCTTTAGCTCATAAGACTGTCATTCCCATTAGCCCCCTTGTGGCGGGGATGGCAGACCAGAGAGGCCTAGCTTGTGGCTAGGCCTGGGGACAGTTGGTCCCAAAGATGAGGAGGTACTTGTGCCTCCTCCCATGGGAGACTTAGGTCTCAGACACTCCCTAAAGAGGGAGCCAAGGCCGGGCCACCACTTGGACAAGGCCCGGGCCGGGAGACTACCGGCTAATCTTTAACTAACTAACTAAATTTGAAATATAGTAATTTCACACATTAAATAAATATTTTAAAAAAATTATCTGTTTCTTATGAATATTTATCAAAATAGATCTGTGAAACGGACACTAGAGCATCTAGTGACGGGAGTTACTAGTATGCTATATCCAGATAATGCTTAAGGGTTGCGTAAATGTAGAGAGCATTGCATCTCCCAGTGAATATTTTCTTTCAGTATCAGCATCGATGTTCTACGTGGGGGTAAATATCACACTCCAAAATGTTTTGAGGTGTTTCGCTACAGTGAACTGTGGTCCTCTTCTTTCTTCTGTTTAAGGAAATACTATACAGGTAAAGGTCGTTATCGTGTCTACCCTCGTGAGAGTGCGTGCTGTTTTCCCGTGCTGTCTTCCCGTTGTTCTAAGTGCCTGCTGTCTTCCCGTTGTTCTAAGTGCCTGCTGTCTTCCCGTTGTTCTAAGTGCCTGCTGTCTTCCCGTTGTTCCAAGTGCCTGCTGTCTTCCCGTTGATCTAAATACTTCCTCTTCCTGTTACTATAGTTGTTCTATTTTCCGACTTTAGCGCAAAGTACGTGAATATACACAGCGTTTTATTCCTGCATTTCGAGGTTACCTCACTGTATACGCTGGTATGTTATGAGGTAACACAAGGAGGGCTCATAGTGTCGGTGGAGGATATTGGTAAATGAGTGGATCTCTTGCCCTGGTAGAGGCTGCTCTAGTGGGGAAGTAGCTTATCCAACGGGGAAGGGAGAAGGATTGAAGGGAAATGGGAATGGTGAGATACTAGGTGTGACAGTGATTGTGGAAAAAGAGTAAGTTGTGAGGGTAGTGTGGACGACCTCCACACTACTGATGGTGGTCATAATGGGCCGCGCGTTGAATATGACGCGGAAGATACGGGTGGAGGTGGTGGTGAGGTCAGTGGTGATGGTGACAGGTGAGGAGGTGATGCTCGTTTGCGGCTGCAGAGAAGGAAATGCCCCGAAGCTGAAGGGGTTCATCAGGCGGAGGAAGGCCAGCTGTTGCAGTTGCTCTGGCGTGAGTCCTGGGGTTGCCATGGCAGGCTCTGCTGGTGCAGGGAGTTGAGCAGGAGCCAGCTGGGGTGTTGTACGGCTCTGCGGTTGCTGCTGCTGCTGTCGCTGTTCCATAGCGGCAGCCAGCTGAGGATGCAGCTGTTTTTCGAAAACATCAGGATTAAACTGTCCACCAGCTAGTTCGGCAAGGTTGGGATCCTGGAAAGGAAAGCCTGGAGGCGGCCGAACGCGGGTCTCATTAGTGGTCTCCACAATCTCACCATTCTCGTCATACTCAACTTCTCCTGGCAGCAGCGCTTCGTCGTTCTCGGTCCCTTCAGCCAACAACTGACCGTTAAACTCGTTGAGCGAGTTCTCGGGAATGAAAGAAAAAGCCTCATATGGCGGCATAGTTTTAACCGCAGTGACCACACGGGTGATGTGGTAGGTTTGAGTGAGTGTGTGATAGAAGGTCTCTCCGGCCTGCAACACCGGCAGTACAGAAGTCTTCCTCATAATTTCCGTAGTACTGAAGGTCTCTGTTGCTGTTTCCAGCACTGCGGAGATATCGTTGGTACCAATGTCAACAGGTGGGAGTGTTGACACGTCCCGTGGACCAGTGTCCAGAATGTTTTCAAACAGTGGCGTCTCATAGAGGTCGTCTTGAGGAAGACTCGGCTCTGGCGTAGCTTCGATGCTATGAGTAAAGGTCTTGGTGAAGGTGGCATACCGAGTGTTTTTACTGGTGCCCACTCGGTAGGTGTGAAGAGATCGGACAGTCGCTACCTCAAACCAGACGTTAGTGGGGCCATCTGCTGGGGTGCTGGTCACAACACGGAGAGTCTCCTCTTCTGCATCAGGAATTAAGGGCCCCTCTGGAGTTGGTTGAATAACAGGCTCACTGTGACTCTCCTCAACAGTCTGTTCAGCCTCATCCGATGGACTGATGGGACGTCTGTTAACATTAACCTTGGGTCTGGGCGAGACCCCGAGACGCCAGCGGCTTGTGGGTCTTCCTTGCCGCTTGGTGCCCGGCTGTGAGGGACGCAACGTTGTTTGGCGACCACTTGTACGTCTAGTGGCCGATGGCTTATAGCGCGGCCTGAATGTCGTGGGCTTCGGTGTCTGTGCATAGACTGTACTAACGTCTGGTGTTTTTACAGTTTTTGATTGCTGGAACCTAAAGGATGGGCGCAAGTTTGATCCCGCTCTTTGTAAGTCTTGATCTTCTTCCTCGTCAACATATGGATCATGAACAGGCCGAGAACGGGCGCGAGGTCCAGACTCTTGTGCACCTCGACGCTTAGACAAAGCAGACCTCATGCGCAACTGGATGGCAGACTCGTCATCGTTCCTGCGACTATCACGACTTCTGCCAGTTGGGCCTGAGAAGAGAGATTCAAGTGGGAGGGCTGAGGTGGGCTCTGGTGTGATAAACTGTGTAGCAGAGCCTTTGATGACAGATTTGACGGTTTCGTAGTCAGATGACACGACATAGCTGTTAATGTTGGACTCCAGTGCTAGCGACGTCTGGAAGATATACGAGGTGCTTCGGAGCACCTGAGCATATTGACCATCAATGTAGGTACCGATGACGCTCGTCTCGTGCACGGTAGTGAGGGTGTCCGATACAATGGTACCCTCTATCTTGGTGACGAGGCCAATGGGGAAGCTAACATCATTGTCCACCACACTGGAGCTGTGAAGGTCTTCGTATGCAGTCGGTTCAACTTCGTACACGTCATAGGACTCTTGTACGTCCAATGTAGGAGCAGATGACAGGAAGTCATAATGCTCAATGACTTGCCCCAGCTCGTTGTTCACAGCTGTGCTGAAGGGACCGATAATACTGAGTGAGGCGAATCCCTGAGTAGCACTCACAATAACTTCTGAAGGTGTAGTGATAAACACTGGAGACTGTGGCCGCACCTGCGTGGCTTTAGTTTTCTGTACTAGCTTGCCGGTGCCCTCTACAGTAATCGGTACAATCGTGGAACCACCAAGAGTCCTTCTAGGGGCATCTGACTTCTTACGGTTCGCAAAAAAGTTAAGATCAAGACGTCGTCGAGCTCCAGTGGTGTCTGCGTTGTCTTTCGGAGGTCGACGGAATGGTGCTGGGCGCCTGGACACATTGGGCATTGCTCTCACTGTCTCTGTTTCCTCCCCCTCCTCTTCCTCAGGTAGGACTTCCGCTTGGTAAACATTCCCAGGAGTTGCAAATATTTGTTCGACCTTTTTTACTTTCGGCGCCACGGAGAAAAGATCCTCGATGGCTAGAGCAGTATTTGGCTCAAAGAAGGAGGACTCGAGGGTAGAGGAAGGTGAGACAGAGTGCCTGGGAGGAAGAGTTGAGGGTGCCGAAGTGGACTTTAGCCTCGGTAGTGTGGGGGTGGGTGAGAGCACAAAGCGTGAAGAGGTTCGCGTTTCTGTAAGTGCCTCTCGGGTCTTGCTGGGCTTAGGTTCTGTCAAAGAAATTCTCAAGTTAGTAAATGAAAAGTATCCAGAGAATTCTGTGCTGCCATTGTAATAACATCCTCACTGGTCAGAGACTAAGAATACAATTCATAATACAGTGAGCGAAACAAATTACAACAACTCAATAAATTAAAAGCTCACCATCATATTATCTACATCCCTACATATTTATATGTTCAAACGTCAAGCATAGCTCCAAACAGCTATAATGATTACAAAAAGCTACAAGAATTTCTCCAAATACGCTTTGAAAAAAAAAGGAAAAAAAAAAAAGCACAGATTTTACTGCTATTTGAATTTTGACTTATTCAGAGCTCCTCCCACTTTACTCACTCAGGTTTCTAACTAACTGAAACTCCATTGGAAACCTGCCCAGGCTTTGTCCTTCCCTGGATACCTTCATCCGAAAGCCTGAGCTGTAAATCGTATACTCACTAGCAGCACTTTGACTCTGCGGCGTGAAGACCATAACAGTGTCGCCCACGACAGTAGTGAAGTCGAGGAATCCGTACACCGTCTTGGTGGTGAAGCCAGAGGAGGGAGCTTGAAGGGCGACTCCTGCCACCGGAGTTGCCGCCACTGTAGACGGGGTCGGCGCCCCCGGGTCACCATCACCACTTCCGGGGTTGTACACAGGCGATAACTGCGCAGACGCAGTCAACACTGAAATATTTTAGGTCATGTTAATTCCTCTGGTCAAGATCCTTCTGCCTGTTAGTTTAAAAGTTTACGAGTCTCCCATCTCAACATGGCTAGTAGTTCTCAGAGCCTCACTCTGATTGAAATGTGTTTAACATATAAATATAATGATCACATGCATTACATACATTGTTGACATGCTCTCTCGTGAGTTATAATAATTTATAATCGATAATTGACGTTATATTTTTTAAATATTTTTATTATTATTATTATTATTATTATTATTATTATTATTATTATTATTATTATTATTATTATTATTGTTGTTGTTGTTGTTGTTTTTAGCACAACATTTAATATCACTCTCGCTTAAAATACTCTTGAAACTTTTGAAACAAATCTGAGAAATAAATTTTGGTTGAGATGTTCATCGAGCAATCTTCAATAGATATTGAAAAAAAAGTAATTTCTGCCTTTATTTTAATTCGTCCTGAATGTAGGAAACAACCAATGTGATAAAATAAATAATATATATACACTCTCTCTCTTCTCTCTCTCTCTCTATAAATATATATATATATATATATATATATATATATATATATATATATATATATATATATATATATATATATATTCTAGGTAGTAGGTTGGTAGACAGCAACCGCCCAGGAGGTACTACCGTCCTGCCAAGTGAGTGTAAAACGAAAGCCTGTAATTGTTTTACATGATGGTAGGATTGCTGGTGTCCTTTTTTCTGTCTCATGAACATGCAAGATTTCAGGTACGTCTTGCTACTTCTACTTACACTTAGGTCACACTACACATACATGTACAAGCACATATATACACACCCCTCTGGGTTTTCTTCTATTTTCTTTCTAGTTCTTATTCTTGTTTATTTCCTCTTATCTCCATGGGGAAGTGGAACAGAATTCTTCCTCCGTAAGCCATGCGTGTTGTAAGAGGCAACTAAAATGCCGGGAGCAAGGGGCTAGTAACCTCTTCTCCTGTATATATTACTAAATGTAAAAGGAGAAACTTTCGTTTTTCCTTTTGGGCCACCCCGCCTCGGTGGGATACGGCCGGTGTGTTGAAAGAAAGATATATATATATATATAGAGTGTATATATTGAGAGGGCAATAAAAACATTGGGCTAAAATAAAGATGAGTTCCATGTGTTTAGAGTTTAGTGAAAATTTATTATGTAAAAATCTCCAATGTTAATTGGGGGTTTTACATATTTTAATCTAACTATGAGGAGTAAAACGCTAGATTTTAGGCTAGGTCAGGCCGAGTTAGGCTTATTGTTTTATTACAAAGAAAAAGCCACAAATATAACAGCCTATCTTACACAACCCAGTTACTGCCGGAGAATTTTTATAACGATTATCACAAGAGCTACATATCTACATTAATCCAAAACATTAAATTTCATAACTGAAAAAGTAACGGCATGAATAATCTTTTATATCTCTATATAAACCCACGATGTATATTAAGGTGGCTAAATGCATAACTTATAAGAACTTGAAGCATTAATTTGTGCTGAATTATATATTAACAGTAATGTATTATGAAGACCTTGAAATAGAGGGAGGATGTAAGACGGAATCAGAGTAACAATACACTGAGTTTGTTACTGAAGTTAGTTTATTATGTTTATTATGTATCCCATACCCATCCTGCGAGCGGTAGTATAAAAGATTACAAAGGTACATAATGGGTCCAGGGACTGGACCCCAAAGTTATGATAGCTGAACAAGTTTCAAAGGTAATGAACTCCAGGTAGATCTGGTCACAATCATGGAAAGTTACAAAGGTAATGAATCATCCTCACTCCTATACATGGTTACAATCATGAACAAATTACAAAGTAATGAGCCACTGATACGTCTATACCCGGTCACAATTGTAATGAGTTATAAATACAAATATTAAGTGGGTCATACACCCATACGAGCGCGCACACACGATTCCTGCAATGTTACTGTTCTTATATTTAGGGGAAGAGCTAATCCCGTAGGGGTTATGCAGAAATGGATAATGTTAAGACGACCTTTCATTCTGCCTTAATGTCTGATATGTTACTTATGTCCTATCTTGTCTATATTGACTGACAAAATATGTCTATATATGGTGGAATATAATGACACTTAGCAAGGAGAGTCTTTGACAATGTTGATTCTCACTTGATCAACACCTTGTGAGGGACATGTGAGGTAAACGTTGTGAGCGAGACGTGGAAGTCAAGTTGTACAACAATAAGGCTTTCCTTGCTAATTGTCTTTCAAAATATCAACCCATTAAGCTTATAATCATAACAAACATGTGTACCCATGGCATGTGTAATAGCATGCATGCGTACCCATGGCATGTGTAATAGCATGCATGCGTACCCTTAACCTGGGCAATAGTGTGGCACAAAGCTTATCATGTTATTTATTATTGACATAAACGTAATTAAAACACTATGAATAATGACCAGACATTGACCCGTAAAACCCTTCAGTAGAAGAAACATCCAAAGGCAATAATCACAGTGCAAAGAATGAGTAAAATAATTAAAGAAGAAAAAAGATATATATATATAATATATATATATAAATAATATATATTATATATATATATATATATATATATATACATATACATATAATATATAAAATATATATAAATATAAATATTATATATATAATATATAAAATATAAATATATATATAATATAATATATATACATACACATACACAAATGATCTACTTGCTAATAGTCAAATCTATAATGTAACCAATGATATTTTTAACAAAAGAATGGGAAAAATATATACATCAGGTTCTGAGGGTGTGTTTAGAACCCTTTAAAGTAATTCCCTTACACTTGCTGCCTTTGTCAACCTAATAGTATATAAATATCTAGTTTTTATTTTAACTGTTGTGGGTCCCTTTTTAGGTCGGTGGTGTCCCCGAGACTGGGCTGAGGAGGATATCACTGAGTTACCTATTTTTTTTTCGGAGCAGGCAATGCTTGTGGTTTCTTTTTTTGATTATTATTATTTGAAATAAATCCAAGAATACTCCCCACAAAACTGATAACTTGACGGTATATTTATTGCTAGGAGAACAAATACAGAAATTTAAAGGACCATCTGTCTTTTCCCACCGAAAAAGGGGACCGGGGGTTATTATTGTTTAATTATGGGGCCTTTGGGGGCCCTCATCTCCGTAGAGGGGGAAGGTAATAAATTTGACCCAAGGGAAAGGGGGAAAGGGTACCTCCAGATTAAATATCTCTAGAAGGCTGGGGGGCTGCCCACCTCAAAAAATTTTTTCATACTAACCTGCTGCCTCTGGTCTCACGAAAAAGTTTAAACATTTCAACAAAAAGATATCAACTGTTGCACATGATGTTACTCACAATACCCCTGGCGGGATCGAACCCCTTTAGTGGTGTGCCGCCTTCTCCTCTTGTGTTCTTTACGTTTTTTAGAGAAATAAAATTTTGGAAAAGCGTGAAACATTTTTGTCTTGGTGTGTTAGGTGCTTAAATAGTTCAAGGTACTATGACGGGGCGAGGACAAACACGAAGTTTATTATAACATAATTCAAAAACTACCGGTTTGGTTTAAAGGGTCGTCGGGAATCCGCCGTTGGAGCTTTTGGTCATCTGCCCGGGGCCTTTCCGCTGGCTTAGGGTTCCACCTTTTTTAAAATTATGGTTATATTTTAAAATAAAACTCCCGGTTAAACCCATTAGGATAAGGTTTTAATTAAAAAACCATATATAGATACTTATTCGATATTTTTTTTATGTAATTATATCTTTTCCAAAACACGCAAGTTAAAAAATTATTAAAAGATTATAGAGTAAATCTTTTTGTTCCCTAAAATTAAAAAAGTCTGGCGGAATACTGAAGCTTTTTTTAAGAGAAAAACGAAAAGAACAAGTAGCTAGGTTTTTCATACAATAAAAAATTTTATGTAAATAAGACAAGTTCAGTACAAAGGAATATTTTTAGGGAAAATTTTTTTTCTCTCGGGATTTTTTTTAATTAATGAAATATGAGACAGAAAACGCATGGATAACTGGGCTAAGTTAGGTTTAGGGCGCATGGATGATACGCCCTGGGGGGGATGTTCAAAAAGAGGTCAACTGGATCCCTTTTTTTAATGGGGGGGAGGGGGGTAATTTTAATTTGTCAAGTTACAGACAAGCTGAAACGTTCTGGAAAAGAAAACGGACGTGGCAATAATATCCGACTCCACATTTTCCGTTTTTTGTAGTTATCCTACACATGCATATTTATGCTTTCAAACGGGAAGGTTCCTTGACGTTTTGCCTACAAAAATTTTTGTCACTTTTCCACACGGAATAACATAAATACCGTTTTGAGTTTAGCAAGCTTGTAATTTTAATTTTCACCAGATCCTGTGGATCTGCTTCACTCTAACTAGCAGAACCCAACGATGGCTAGCTATTATCTACTGGCCCGGCTAGACCAAACAGCTCTTCAAAAATGGGACGTGTTCTGACAAGTTACCTTGTACGCACCTCCCACTTCTCTACGATGCCAAAACTGAGCGGTGGCTCGTTACCAAAATTTTCCCTCGTTGTTTTCAGAATATCCTGATTTTGTACCTGAGTAACCTGAATTCATTTCTAATATCCGAGTTCGTTATCTGTACTGTAATCCGTTTTTTACGGTCTAAAAATTTACTTGTAAGACCTTCGCGGCTGATCCCGGGAATAGCTCAGTTAAATCAACATGAAATGCATCAGACACGTATAAATACATCAAAACACGGAGCATAAACTAACCAAAAGATGCTATGCTTTCGTTTTGAGGAATCAAGATAAAAATTAACTGTACTAACAGAGGAAAATATTGAGACAACCTCCCGTATTTTTATTTTGTAAATTCCCCAACAGAGGTGGTGATATGAGGACAGCTATATTTTGAGCCTAGGGAAAAGTTTTTTTTTTTTAGTAACCAAATTAAAAAACGTAACCCAATCTA